AACATTAAATTTAATAGTGAATTCTTAAAATTATTCATTAAAAATAATATTTTTTATCTTAAAATTCTATTTTTTTTAATGAGATTCATAATTCATAAGGCACTTTTCCGTCCGTATTTAAGCACACTAATTATTATTATTATTAATATTTGAGTACTTAAATGCCTCAGCTGCTTTAGTGTGAAGAATTAGGAAGTTTTATTTCTGGGTTAGGGAAAGCTCAAAAAACTGAAATCAATTAGAAATTGGGTGGGCAAATTCGACATTTAAGAAATCAAAATTGATTGCAAGTCAACCATGAAATTGGAATTTTTTAGTAAGTGGGTGGTAGTGAAAAGTCGAAAAGCCCTGCAATGGAAGGCAAGTGAGAACGAAATTTGAGGGCAAAGTTGAGATTTCACTAGGTCAAATTAATTGAGATCTATTGGTAGTGCAAACATGCTGTCGACAACCTTCTTCCCTGTCTTTCATTCACTCTGCCAAACTGAGCAAACTCAGCAACATTCCTTCTTCCATTCATTTTAGAAGAAGAAGCAATAGAAGAAAATATAGCAGGGAAAAGTTTTGACAAAATGACTTCCACCAAGGAACTGCATCTATCATCTCATAATCTAACAAGATGAGGAAATTTAGTTAATTAGATCTTTGTCGATAAAAAAATAGTCAATGAGATACCACCATAAAAGAAAAATGACTAAATGAGAATGGAAGATCCACAAAAGAGTCAATATTTGTCACAATCTGTTATGAAATGAGCTGCACAGCGTCAGATTACGAACTGACCTAAAAGGCTGAAAGCTGAGATTACGGCATCATCTCTAATGGTGGCTGTCATCGTTGACTGCCCAACAATCAAAGCAGCTGGATTCAAATAACAGAATAATTTCAGAAAGTTTCTATTATTCATTAGAGAAAGAGCAAGCGGCATTACCAGAAATGAACTACAAACAAGTAGGAAGAAATGCAAAATGAAACAAGGAAAAGAACTCTTATATGTTTAAACTGTTTTCTAGAAAGCATGTAGCAAATAGCTACTCATGAACCTTAGACCATTAGAAGAACTCCTATACAAAGCATTTGTGAACTAATTACAGCAAGTTACATAAGGAATCACTTGGAGTTACATCAATAAGGGAGGCTTTTATGCCAGTGACTGCTCCATCAATACAAATCCAAACTCGTTAATATTCCATAACTAATATGGAAATCTCCTATAAAAATTTCTGGATTGTCTAGAGCCTCTCTTATTGGGTTTCTGGTCCCAAAAATGAGATGAGGTTCTTGAGACTACCTTTGTTGAAACAAACTCTACATCACTAGAAGGGATGAAAAGAAAAAAATTCATCAAGATAATACTATATTAATGACATCAGTTGAAGACGCTTATTCATGTTTCAACAATAACTCTTTGGCTTTGGAATGAAATTAGGTACCTGAGTATCAGAGTCAACAGAACAAGCAAGTAATTAAGCCGTGATAAGAGAAACCTCCTCTGAGGATGTGTCTTTTGGTCATCTCTCTCTTAGTTTCACCTTCCATGGACTCTTAATTGTAGGATGCATGTAGAATATACCAACAATAAGCAAAAATATATATTAATAGAGTATGTACAATTTAGAATTTAAATAAAAGTTTATGAATAAAAGTTATAAAACTACATGATATATAAGCTCATTAATACCAATGAGCTTAAATTCAATTCATTTAAGAAAAAAGAAAAAAGAAAAAAGAAAAAAATCATTTGTTTCAAGTAAAACGCATCATTAAAACTAATTCACATAAATGTAAAAATCAGAGAAAGGAAGCAGGAAAATCAAATTCAACAGAAATGAACACAGTGACAGATCTTCTTGGAGGATGAAAGACAACTGCCTGAAGCTTCTGCTGTGGAAAAGAAAAGAAAATTACAAAAATTATTACTGACTATTCTATCCATTGTTTTGCTTAGAAGGAGCACAAATAACAGATCTGTAGAAAGTCACCTATGACTATATGTAGTTGGGTTGGTGGTTTTTTCCATTTTTGTGCGTATATATAGTTGCACCTTCCAACAAATTTTCAAGTGACAGGGTAATTATTTAAGGAATCACCTGGAGTTCCTTTAATGGAAGAGTCATTATGCCAGTGATTGCAGCATTAACACACAGCTCATACATTTTAACATTCATAACTGATATGGCAATCTCCAATAAGAATTTTCCAGATCCTCTGAGCCTCTTCTCTTAGGTTTCCAGTACCAAGACTGAGAATGTGTTCCTTACAACCATCACTGAACTTTGAAGTATACTCTACAACACCAGAGCCATAGGGATGGATTATTTGATTGGTGCGACTTTCTTTATCTTAGCTTTTGTCCAGAAACAAGAAATGATCCATGAAGATCACACTATAATAATAACAACATGTAAAGATATTTGTCATGTTTCAACAACAACTCTTAGGCTCTAGAAGCAAGATAAAATGAGCACTTACACCAGTCAAAACAAAAGAAGCCTCACCTGAAGATGTGTTTTGGGTCATATATCTGTTTAAAGGACTTTTAATTTTAGGATGCCTGCAGGATACACCTTATATCTGTAAGCAAAAGTATCCATTGATGAATTTACCACTAGAACAACAGCTTCAACTATAATTTATCTAAGGAAAAAAAAAAAAAAAAAAAACGAAATGACTGATGTCTACATGGTATGACTGACCATCCATACAGTAAATGCAACACGGAATTTAAATAAAAGTTCACGAATGAGACATTTGTGATCCACCATTACCTCCCTTCAATATATCCAACTCAGAACTTACATATATTAATGCTACAGCCAATTTCTTGATATTTTTTAACAAAATCCCAACCGAAATTTACTCCTAATTTCTTGTTTATGGTTCAATTAATGCCCTTGTCTTCAAAACAATCTCTTGATTTCTATATCTACAAGAAGAACAATAAAATCGCACTAAACCATTCATACACATTTAAAATCATTAATTTATTCCACACAGAAAATTACTACAGCTTGCTCCGTTAATAGAAGAGGTTACTATCTCAAGAAAACAGAATGTAAGACTAAAAAAGAAAATTACCTGTCTAGGTTTGGCGATGGATAGAGAATGGACCTCCAAAGAACAGAGGACGGCTGAGACGTCGGTCAGCTGGTACTCCTAATCCTTTTCAAAATCGCTCAGCTGCGTCCGCTTCGAGACTAATTCCAAATTTGAACTGATCGGGAAATGCGGTGAAAGGAGGCGATTGAGTTCCACGCTTCATTTTAAGAGATTTTCATTTTTATTCAGTAAAACGCACCGTTCAAAGGCAACCAAACCAAAAGAAGAGATAAGGTATGATATGAGGATAAAATATGATACAAAGAGATAGATCGACAAAGATCACAGATAGATCAAATTAAAGTAACAAAATACAAGAGAAATACACGAGATTGTAGATCGGCTCTTGTAGGAGAGTCGGTTTCTTCAAAAAAATAAAAAAATAAAAAAATAAAAAAACCCAATTACAATGAAGAGTCTCTTAACAAGAACTCTCCAATTGAAGGGAAGATATCCTATTGAAGCTGCTCTAATAACCTCACTGATGCAGTTCAAAAGAAATCTAACACTAAACCTTGTATTCAAATTAATATCAAATACATTCAAGCTGAAACCGGTTTTGCGAATTCAATCAAACCAATCAAATATTACTGCTGCATCATCTTTTTCATCAAATTTTGACAGATGTGGCTCTGCAGTTCTGCTTCTTTGTCACTGCTGCAGTTCTTTGCCACTAAAATTCCACTCAGTCCCAAGTTCTCGATTAATGTAAAAATGATTTGAAAAGGTATGAAACATGGTCCCTAGAGGAATGTGGACTGTGACCCACAAGTTCATTGTGAATTGAAATCACCAGTATGTAGGTCGTAGTAATATGCGGCCCTTAGCACGGTGAACAGTAAGAAGACACGGTCCAGTGCTCATCTGTCATGTCTGCATTCGTTATGTTCAAAAGAAATGAGGTCGGGTTTTCGACCGCCGGCTGTGTAGAATGCAAGACTGGTTGCAACTGGCAACCCCATATAAAGCATAAGATCCCAAACGCACTGCAGGGTACCAAAATTACTTAAACCCAAATAGACTTAAAAGGCGTAGAAATGGTTATAACCATACGTCATAAAAGAAAAGTAAAAATCAATCATCTTTATTTATAATCACAAAAGTAAAAATTAAAATACTTTGACATTAAAAATATTAAAATATTTAATTTCAACCACATAATATAAAATTCAAGTAAAATTTATATTATATTTAACTTATTTTGTAATTGTGACTAAATATTCTAATAGTTTTAAAGCCACTGCAACCCCATTTACAATATAGAAACATAATGTTCAAAGCATCTCCTGATAGTGGAAATAAATTTTTTGTGCTGGCTAAAAGAGATACTCCATTACGGAAAGAGCACGACGGGCCATTAATACAAGAAACTAGTTATTGTAATCTAATAAAGGACTCACGTGTTAGTTGGCAATCGAATCAATAATTCCAGTGGGCGATAGATATTCTTAAGAAAAAAATTTGAGTATTTTGATTAGAACAAAATAGAAAATATAAGGCATTATATTTAACAGAAATTGATTTGAGTATGTGAACGTCTATCTCCAATCAGAATACAAATTAAAAATTTGGCTTAAGGAATCACCCGGAATTCCCTAATGGATCAGGAAGCATTATGCCAGTCACTGCTGCTTCAACACACGATCCAATAAACCATAATTGAACCATACTCTACATCATCTGCAGTGTAAAATATATAGAAAATTGGTTTTGACTTCTACATAAAGGATAATACATCAAAACATACGCAGGCTAGCAAATCATAGACATGGTTTACTCAACCCTGACTAAAATCAAAGGCATAGAAATGGCACCTATTTTCTCCCACAACCAAAAGTTGCAACCATATAGAAAAAATCAATCATGTTTATTTACAATATTGAAACAAGATGTTCAAAGCATCCCCTGATAGGGGAAATAGATTGTGTGTGTTGGCCTAAGAAGATACAACGTTATGGAAAGACAGCAGGTTTATACAAGAACTAGTAATAGTAATCTATAAAAGGACTTAGTAGGTAATACCAATAGAGCCCCCCATTTCCACACTCAGTTAATAAATACAATGGGTGACAGATTTTCATATTATTTTTAAGAGAAAATTGATTTCAATCTGAGACTTCTTTCTCCAACCTAAACATATCTTAAAGTTTTAAGCACACCTCAAGAATTCCTTTCTGAAGAGCATGAATAGCTAGACAGAGGCAATAGTCACTCTTCTGTTAGTTCAAAGCAAGAGGAACTTCAACTCGACAATTGACAAGCATCTCAAGAACAAGCAGCTGGCATCTTGATATCTCTGAAAGAATAAGTGAAATCCATTATTCAGTTAAGAGAGCTCCATCTTTTAAAGATGTTCAAATGACTGGCACTGAACAAACCTTCTGCAGTGGTGCCACAAGTGCCTGAGTGCCTAAAAGCAATATACAACCAGGTAACTGTTTATGGCAACCAAACTATATGCCACTTAGTGATAAGTGAGTTTTCCCCATTTCTGTAGTGATCCTTCAAAAAAGTCAAAGGAGATGAAATCAATAAAACACTTAAGAGGCTTTCAAAAAGCACAAATAAGAATTAAGACAACTAAAAGAAGAGTGCTAATCCCATGTAGGCTAAATGGCAAATAAATTTCAAAAAGCAATATATAACATCCGGGATGAATAGACAGCAACACACAATATCACACAATATTACCTTGGACGTGTCAATATAACAGATACACATAAGACCTACACTAACTACTTTCCCAATTTCCATTACACTTTAACTCATGAATCTCTTAACAATAAAGGAGTCTCTATAATTACTGCAGGCTCGGAGTAACAGAAGTGTTGGTGAGTGCACAAAGCAAAATGAGAAAGAAAAAGTTAAAATGAGATCTTTGCCAATAAAAAAACAGTAAATGAGACACTACCATAAAAGAAAATGACTAAATGAGAATGGAAGATCCACAAAAGAATCAATATTTATCACAATCTATTATGAAATGAGCTGCACATCATAATGCAAACTGACCTAAAAGGGTGAAAGCTGAGATTACTGCATCATCTGCAATAGTGACTGTCAACGTTTGACTGCCCAACAATAAAAGCAAGCTGGATTCAAATAGCAGAATAACTTCAGAAAGTTTCCATTGTTCATTAGTTAACAGGGAGCAAGCAGCATTACCAGAAATGAACCACAAACAAGTTGGAAGAAATCCAAAATGAAACAAGGAAAAGAAATCTTTTATATGTTTAATCTGTATTGTAGAAAGCATGTCTAGCCAATAGCTACTCGGAACCTTAGACCATTAGATGGACTCCCATACAAAACATTTGTGAACTAATTACAGCAAGTTACATAAGGAATCACCTGGAGTTACATCAAGGGAGGAGGCATTTATGCCAGTGATTGCTGCATCAATACATGATCCATACTTGTAAACATTCCATAATATGGAAATCTACCATAAGAATTTTCCAGATTGTCTTGAGCCTCTCTTGTTGGGTTTCTGGTCCCAAAAATGAGATGAGTTTCTTGAGACCTTCATTGAAACAAACTCTACATCACCAGAAGGGATGAAAAGAAATAATTCGTCAAAATAATACTATATTAATGACAGCAGTTGAAAAAGTTTTTCACATTTCAACACTAACTCTTTGGCTTTGGCAGCAAGTTAGGTACCTGAATATCAGAGTCAACAAAACAAGCAAGTACTTCAGCCATGGTAAGAGAAACCTCCTCTGAGGATGTGTCTTTGGGTCATCTTTAGTTCCACCTTTCATGGACTCTTAATTGTAGGATGCTTGTAGAAAACACCAATCAATAAATAAGCAAAAATATATATTAATGCAGTTTATACAATTCAGAGTTTAAATAAAAGTTTATGAAGAAGAGCATAGGATATATAAGCTTATTAATACCTCCCTTCAAAATATGCAACTCGGAAACATACAATATGTAAATGCTAATGTATATATTTTGTTTCAGAGATTCTGTTTTAATTAGGTACAAACATTTTATTTATATCTTCGCAAGCAGAGAACAATTATCTGATTTTTGAGTTTACACAAAACACAACATACCATCCAGTTAGCTAATTAAGCAAAAATCATCAATTTACCCAACACTTATTCACCCACCAAGTAATTAATATTTTCTATATGTTTCGTAATTTTACATATACAAATAATTTTTTCGAAGAAATTACCACATTTTAACACAGTTTTTGTGATAAGAATGATGTTTTGCAATCAGGACGGTAAAACATAAACCCTTGGATGGGATTCAGACTCGCCACATCCAATGAATTTAGTTATGCAATCTGCTACAATCTGGACTGCACAACTCCCAATCACAACACAATACAAGAGTTTAAAATCGAACAAGAAAAA